AAAAAAAAAAAAAGATAACACTAATACTACTTCTTAAAGGATGTATTCTCCAAACGGATTTATAGAATCATAGTTATTCAGAGAAATTTAAAAAATGAATCTGAAGAGCACGTTGGTTGATATTAGGATAATAAAAACGACAACGAGACAATGGAAGAAAAGGCAGCGAACTATCATTTTGAAGTCTATTGAAACAGCGGCATGACAGATGGCGCCACAGATTGTGGACGTAAAACAACATCGCTCTTATCGCGACAAAATCCCATATCAAACAACGCTAAAAAATAATATCTGAGGAAACCTACAAAGAAAAGTCAAGCGATTGTGTACGACGCGGATGACGAAAAGATGGATGTGTAAAACGAGCCCTTGTGTGGGTTTTAAACTTTGTGTGAGCAAAATAATCTATATGCCCAAATTTTTATAAATCATAAATAATGGAGTTCATCATATGTATCAGAAGATTGTTAAGTGGAAAGGTTCATAATTTACAGTTTTAGAAGATGCAACTTTCGAAAGATGCAACTTTCGAAAGATGTACGAAAGGGACGCTTGTTTTGGTCTTCTTTCTCCATATTTTTGATCGAGTGGATTATTATTGTTTTGACCTAAAATCTTGTGACCTATTTGGGATTTGGTATGTATAATTTCAGTTAATGGAAACTAGAGAGTGGTGGAACTATTTCTACTATATCATTTACTTCATTTATTTGAAATTACAATGATATTGGTGGAAGAAGAGAGGAGGCTGAACAAATAAACACCATGCCATTCCTATGCGAATCAACGCTTGGATCGCCGATTGTGTCTGAGCGGTTCTCCAATAGAATTAACAGGTCTTGCAGAGATGAATATGATGCCCATTTGTGAATGGTTGGGTTTGGACATTTCTCACAGGTGTGGTATGAAGTATTTAACCCCAGAATTTTCCACACCTTGTATTCTACATTTCTACTTAGTGTTGGCATTACAAATACAGCTTTAATCATAACTTATATGGTTTCTTATTACGGTGTATAGCGCTTATGATAAATGCATTCAAGAACAGTATAATTCTCTATCTCTTCAATACACAGTACTATAGGCCTACAAAGTCTGCAAGTGGACTACTTCAGCTATGTTCTTCACAGTAAGGATAATAAAGATATGGTACAATATGGTATTGGTTATGTAATACACATTCTAACTGGTGTAGAGACTTCAGTAGAATTAAAGTTTTACATAGATTTAGTTTCAGTTTTATTTGTGACAATGGATATTCTTTGCTGTGACATACTGTCTTTAATTTTGCTTCTAAATCTCCCCCTGTGTGCAAGGAATGTAGCGCGCAGGATCAAACGCAGGTCAGCAAGATTGCAAGACCACCACGTTATCACTGCACTGCACAGCACACAGCAATGCCATAGAAAGCCACTGGCAACATACGGATGCATCTCTGGCTTTCTAGTTTCTCGAAATTCAGCCGTAAAAGGAGGGAGATTCCGTTTAATTCGGTGTATATATCCGGCTTTGCTGTACCTTCGTCCCGGGCTTTCATCGTCTCAGGTACGTAGATAAAATGAATTCGTGCGTAAATTGTACTATTCAAGAAATAAAGGGAAAAAAACTCCATACACTGGATTTCAAACGGGAGTATGGAACCCACCGGCTTTTGTCTATCTTTTAATAACATCTATCGCATAACATATACCTCTTAAAAGTTTTTTCCTTTTGTGTGCTGTGCAATATTCACGGTGTTCTGTGACATCTGGTTCGTAGGCCTGTGATTGCATATATATTTTTCCCTATTTATATGTGCGTGTGTGTATGACGCTTCTGCGTCTGCAATATGCCACAGACGGAAAAAATGTGAGATTTTTTTTTATAAAGTCATTTCGATTTTTGCTGCATAGCGTTTTTTAAATTAAAGTTGCAATCCACTTCCGATATTCATTTTTTCTTAATCATAAATGCTAATTTTCTGCATTCATCGTCTCTAAATTAGACAATTTTGCTTCTTTGCTTGCAGGACAAATGTTTTATTTACCTACAAAATGGCAGCACTTATTTTTGTTGTTCTTTTCAGTTCCCCTTTCGTTTTATCTCCCTTTCTCATAAAGAAGAAAGAGACAGAGATGGAAGATACAGAGACAGATGTCTGGACTATCTCGCCTAACTCCTTCATCCTTCCTCATAGACCAAGAATGGCAAGATCTTGGAATAAGAAGCAAACGATGAAAGGCAAGAAATATATTCCATGGCGGTCGTCACAGGCATCAGAAAAAAATCGATGCTTTGCTGTAGAGAGAAATAAAGAAGGCACACCACATAACGAAAGAAAGAGAAATGGGGAAAATCTTCGCTCTTAGAGCTTCTTCGCTTCGAGCAAGTCGAGAATCCTGTAGCCTTCCCGCTCGCCCGTGGCTATGGCGCCGTCGGTCGTCCCGAAGCGCGCGTTGTGGGTGTGCTCGCCCGCCCACGCCAGCACCTGCGGGTCGAGGCGCAGATCTGTTATATGTGTATGTGTATATGTGTATGAATACACACACACATAATACACAGCACACACACACACACACACAACACACACACCACACACACACACACACACACACACATATATATATATATATATATATATATATATATATATATATATATATATATATATATATATATATATATATATATACATATATGTGTTTGTGTGTAGATGAAGGTATGTATGTATATGTGCATTTATGTATATGTATTTTATATGTATAAACTAAGATACCTGGGTATGTAAATACATTAAATAAATATATAGGTCAATAAATTTAAACACTCATCCTTTCTCTCTCTCTATCTACCCATCGATCTGATCTCGATCTATCTCTATCTATCTCGATCTATCTTGGTTGATCTATCTATCTATCCGTATCTCACACACATACATACACACACACCCCCCCCCTCCAAGCACACACGAATTCAATCTCCTAGAACTCTCCTCCCGTCGACCTATTAGCCCCAGAAGGAACACGTACCTCAGCGCCGTTGGAATTGGCGATCGGGATGGCCAGCAGGTCGTGACTCTCCATGCCCTGTTGCTCGCCCCAGAAGGTGATGTAGGTCTCGTAGGCTCCGCGCGTCCATGGGTTGTTGTACCACGTTGTTCTGTATATATGTGTATATATATGTGCGTATATAAGATATGCACACACACACACACACACACACACACACACACACACACACACACACACACATATATATATATATATATATATATATATATATATATATATATATATATATATATATATAAAGTAAAATTTACTTAGAATTTAATTGAATTAGTAAAGAAAACCTTTCTATCTTCTATTGCTTATTGTTCAGATTTACAGTGATATGATACTTGTTTATTATTGTGTACGGAATAAAAAGGAATTGGTTGAAAATGATTCTATGCCTAGTGTATCATTGTCACACATACAACAGAGGAAAAAAATTGAATCCACCCCATAAGCCTTATGATATTATTATATTATATACTAATATTAAATTAGGTAAGTAAAAAAAGAAATTTCAGGGATTACTTAAAATCCAAAACACCGGGTGGTGATGGCAGTACCAAGAGAGGGAGAGGAGATAGCGAGAAAGAAGGAAGGGAGGGAGGGAAGGACGGGGGAGAGAGAGAGAAAATGAGTGAGTGAAAGAAAGAGAAATGAAGAGAAAGATAGATAAAGAAAGAAAGAGATAGATACATAAAGAGAGAGAGGGAGGAGAGAAGGAGTAACAATGAGTGAGAGAGAAATAAAGAGAAAGATAGAGAAAGTTATGGATATGTATATGTATATATAAAAAGAGAGATAAAGAAATAAAGAGAAAGATAGATAGAGAGAAAGAAAGAAAGAAGAAAAAAAATAAAGAGAAAGATAGAGAAATAGGGAACGAATTAGAGAGAAAGAGAGAGAGAGAGTGAGAGAAGGAGTAACACTGAGTGAGAGATAGATAGATAGAAAGAGAAAATGAGTAACAGTTAGATAAAGAGAGTTAAAAGAGTGAGGGAGAGAAAGAGGGGGCGGATGGGAGAGAGAGTTATGTGAACGTATCGATGTATCGATTTCTTGATTTTATTTGATACCGATACCAATACAAAAGTATCGATCGATAAGAATCGCCGATATATATATATACATATATATATATATATATATATATATATATATATATATATATATATATATATATATATATGTATGTATGTATGTATGTATGCATATACATGTTATTGTAAAAACATAAAATCCGTCCTTTAATCTCACCTGTGGAAGAAAATGGGTTTTGGGACCTCTGTGCGCGTGATTCTCCTGAGGAAGTACATCATGTGTTCTAGAACCGTCTCTTCGGGCAGGTTTTCCATCGTGACGGCGTCTTTTCCCACGAGGAACACCTGTAGGACGTTGGGCGCTCGGTGTGGGCTCTCTATGTTCACGATGTCGTAGAGCCACAGCTGCGAGGCCACAGGCAAGGATTTATATACATTTATTTTCCCTTGACCTTCTACGTTTATTTACCGAAGAGCGACGCGACATTGACTGTACATTTGCCATCGTTTACAAAATGTTTCTCCGTTTTTTTTTTTCTTTCTTTTTCTTTTTTTTATAAACAGTGCCCAGAGAAGTAGCATGCCGCTCAATCTTAGATTTTCGTCAAAACGTTATGCTCATTTTTCCATGCCAGAAAAAGAGGAAAACCATCTAAAAATGGTGAATAACATAATCATAATAATAATAAAAAACTGGCCTACCGACCCTTAAGCACACGAAAGGATAACGAGGAGGACCGACTCACCCTGTCCTGAGGAATGTCCCTGGAGGTCCAGATGATGTCGAGGCTGAGAGGTTTGTCGCCCCACCACGGGGTCTCCCAACCGAGCTGGACCTTGTCGGCGATGCCCAAGTCAGCGTACTGTTGGAGATATGAGGAAGATGAGGATGCTTGAGTGAGATAAAGAGGGGCGAGTGAGGTGAGGA